TGTTTTTCTAGGAGATCGTTTGCCTTTTTATTGATTTGTAGGAGTAATTTATATATTCTGGATATTGGTTATTTGTTAGTGATATGTATAGCAAATATTTTCTCCCACTGTGTGGCCTGACTTTTCATTCTTCTCGTGGTGCCTTTTGCTGAATACAGTTTCTTAATTTTTTTTTTTTGTGAGGAAGATTAGCCCTGAGCTAACATCTGATGCCAATCCTCCTCTTTTTTTGTTGAGAAAGACTGGCCCTGGGCTAACATCTGTGTCCATCTTCCTCTACTTTATATGGGACGCCGCCACAGCATGGCTTGACAAGCGGTGCATCAGTGCGTGCCTGGGATCCGAACCTGCGAACCTGGGCCACGGAAGCGGAGCACACGCACTTAACCGCTGCGCCACCCAGCTGGCCCCCAGCTTCTTAATTTTAACGTCTTCAAATTAATAATCTTTTCCCTATGGTTAAATGCTTTTTGTGTTTAGTTTAAGCTTATGGTCTTTATTTGCAAATTCTAGGAAATCAGAAAAGACCCAGTTGGCACTACTCAGGGAGACTAAGAAGGTGGCTGGTATACATTTGAGTTTTAGGTTATCCTTGAAAGCAGCTTTCATAAACAGTAAAGACTATTTGTGGCTTGGGTTTTTAAGCTAATATTGAATTTATTGAAATAAATTAAAAGCTAATATCCTTAAGTTTTTAGGTTTAATTAAAACCTTAATATTCTATTTATAAATCAAAGAGGACCTTTACAACTTAATCAAATTCCCCTAAATATTTTAGGCTGCATATTTATTAATATAACCAATTGCATTTTTAAGTTTGTATACATTTATAACCAATTTTCCTTTTAAACACTGCATTTGTCTCTAACAAGCAAATCTGTCCCATGAACACTGTTGAATCTTACAAATCTAATAAAATAAACTTATACAATTTTGAATTTTAAGTCTTAGACAATATCGTATACAAAATTGGTTTTAAAATGGAATATTTTTCATCTTTATAATCACAAGATTAAATCTCTTACTGAAGTACACTATTAAAATTGGAATCATAATTCTAATTTGTCACGTATACCAAATTCTTATGCACAATTTAAATATTAAGTATGCATAAGTTATTCTTAAAATGAATGCCAAAAATATGAATATCATTGGTTTTATGTATTTTATCTTAGTTTCTCTTTAAATAATTATAAATATTCCTAGGTTTTTAAGTTGCCATCTAAGAGGGTAGTTTTTAACAAGGATGGTACTGCCCCCTAGGGGACATTTTGGAAATTTGATAGCAGGTTTTTAGTCTCAGTGATGGAGGGATGTTCTAGTATTGAGTACACAGGGGCCAGGAATGCCTGACATCCTGAAACACACAGAAGAGTCCCACACAACTAAAAATTATCTTGTACAAATTTCAAAAGTCCCTTCATGTAAGAAAAACTCACAATTATCTGAGCCTAGAACTTCGCCATTTTTTATATGTAAGTACTTTTTACATAGTTTTAATATAGATTGTTTTTTCCAGGAATTGCAATTATTTTGCAAATCAGGGAGAGATTGTACTTTGATTTGTTCTGAACTTTACCAAGTGTTATTGACCATTTTAGAAAATTGAGTCACCAGTAGCAATGTCCCTCGTGGTACTTGAATCAGTCTGTATGTGCAGCTGTCACATTCATGGTGATTAGATATAGATATATAGATAAGAATATATAGATATATTTCTTAAGCCCTTGTTTCAAATTACCAAATATAAAAACCGTGTTAATAATTTTCAGTTGCATATTGTATTATCTTAAAACTAAACTCAAATGGATGCAAGCAACTGGTGCATTATATCTTCTGTTATAATTGTGCTTGAGCATATACATATTGATATATACTTTTTATTATAAACAACTTCTTTTTATTTCTCTTTTGAATTACAGTTTGGGCAGTATATTGTATGTAACTAGATGATGTTATCTATGAATTCCATTTCAGGATAGTAGAGATCATTACAAAGTATTTTTAAACTTCACAATAAATATGTAGCCTTGGAGTAACAGTTCTGATACTGCTATGCTGTGTACTGGAATTGAACAATTAAGTAAGCGGATGATGTGTGAGGGAGCAATCCTTTCCTCTATTGGAGTGGGAGTTAACAGATAAGAAATGGGAGGAGGCTGGAATGGCCCATGTGGTGATGGATTAGAATTGGAACTCGTGTTTAGCTCAACATCGATACAGGTGGTTACAAATAGAAATATTTATAGATACGTGTACATATCTATAACAGGGGTTAGTATACATACATCTATTTCTTTGGTCTGTAGCTGAGAGGACTTAGAAACAATGACACCCCAGTAGCAATGAGCACACCTAGCTTGTAGATGTTGCTGTTTAACATCATGCTCCAATAAAGGAAACCAGGACTCCAATTGTAGGAATAGAAAAGAAATATACAAAGTGAGCCCAGAGCATCTTATAGTGCCAGACAATAATGAAGTGCTACACACACACACACACACACACACACACACACACAATGATGGAGGTATGTTAGAAGACACAAGAACCAACTGAAAGACTCCCAATTGCCACAGCTGGAAAACATTGTTTGAGCAACAAAATAATTCAACTAGCATTGGGTTATGCACCAAAGTATAAAATAAATATCAGTGAGTGAATACTGATATAAACAATGGTTAAATTAATAAATAGGGGAGAAGAGACAAATCTCCCATGCAGAAGAATTACAAATAATGTATAAAGAAGAATTCTAAATAACTCCCCACTCTTTAAATGTGGGCTGCAGTGACTTCCTTCCCAAGAGGAGAGAGTGGAAAGGAATGAGAGGAAGTAACTTTGCAGGGGAGAAACCTGACAAACACAATCTCAGCCAGATGATCAAGCTCCATGTCAACAGTGACAAGTGTTGGTAGTGTGTACCTTGGACATGATGTGATGAGAAGGGCACTTGACCTCTGTGGCCTTCCTCCCCAAAACCTATATCTCTAATCTAATCAGTAGAAAAAAATTCAGACAAATCCCAGTGAAGGAACGTTCTCCAAAATTCCCAACCAGTACTCCTTGACACTGTCAAGGTCATCAAAAATAAGGAAACTGTGAGAAACTGTCACAGCCAAGAGGAGCCTAAGGAGACACAATGACTAAATGTAATGTGGTGTCCTGGATGGGATGCTGGAACAGAGGACGTTAGGTTAAAACTAAGAAAAATTGAATAAAGTATGGACTTTGGTTAATAATAACATGCCAACATTGGTTCATTAATTGTAACAAATGTACCCTACTGATATAAGATGTTAATAAGAGGGGAAACTGGGGGCAGGGTATATTTGAACTCTCTTTGCAATTTTTCTTTAACTCTAAAACTTTCTTTAAACATAAAGTTTATTTTAAAATATGTAGTCCTTATATGGTGACTGACAAACAACAGTGTACAACTAAAAGTTCACAATGTTATAAACTATTATGACATCAATTAAAAAAATATGTAGTCTTTATATAAAGACAACTACAAAACTTGACCAAGGGATATAAAAGAAAACTTGAATATGTAAAGAGACATCATATTCTGGATGTAAAGAATAGCTTTTTGTAAAAATATTTCTCTCTGAATATTTATTCAAAAATTTAGCTCAATTTCAATCAAAATAGCAAAGACTTTTTTTTTTTGCAAATTGAAAAAATAGTTTTCAAGTTCGTCTGAAGAATTAATAGATAGGAAGAGCCAGAAGACTTTTTAAATCAAAATGAGCACAGTCAGATTTTAAATTAAATATTAAATTTATAAACATTAAAACAGTATAGCATTGTTGCCAGAAGAGAGAGCTCATTGGAACAGAGTAGAAAATCCAAAACAGGTATATGGGTATATATACTAACATATGAATTTGAATATAAAGACGTAATTTCAAATCAAAGAAAAAATGAAAGATGATTTAATAAGTGATATTGGAACAACTGGCTAAGACATATATAGATATGTAAAGCGCCCAGTATGTACCAAACAAAATTCCAGATGGATCAAAAAGTTCATTTTAAAAAGTCAAACCCCAGAAGATTTTAAAGAAAATCTTCAGATAGGTGATAAAGTATCTGATAGCTAGCGGTAACAGTCTTTTTAGGCACACAAAGACAAAACTAATATAGTAAAATATGGGCAAATTTGCAAAAATATTAAAACCTTTTCTGTGTTAAAAAAACACACTCACAAAAAATAAGACAGTGATGAACTGGAAACCAAACTTCGCAACATCTATGAGAGTGGATTAAGATAGTTAATATAGGGCCGGCCCCGTGGCTTAGCGGTTAAGTGCGCGCGCTCCGCTGCTGGCGGCCTGGGTTCGGATCCCGAGCGCGCACCGACGCACCGCTTCTCTGGCCATGCTGAGGCCGCGTCCCACATACAGCAACTAGAAGGATGTGCAACTATGACATACAACAATCTACTGGGGCTTTGGAGGGAAAAAAATAAATAAATAAAATCTTTAAAAAAAAAAAAAAGATAGTTAATATATAAGAACTTATAATAATTTCTATATATCTGTAAGAAAAAGAATAACACTTCAATGGAAAAAAGGTCCAAAAATATGAGAAGATAATTCACAAAATAAGGACAGAATAAGCCTATTAAACTTAATAGTTTGGCCTCATTAGTGGTAAAAAGAGATATAAATTAACATGTCATCAGTTTTCACCTTTCATGAGCAAAGATTTTTTTAAACGACAAAGCTAATTGTTGGTGAGGAATAGAAAAAAAGAGATCCTCCTACATATTTCTGGAGGGAGTGTAAACTGATAGAATATTTTTGGGGAGCATCCTAACAATAAGTAGCAAGTGCCATAAGAAATGCATAGCTTCTGACACAGCAATTTCTCCTCTAGGAATATTTATCAGAAAATACTTGTGCACCATGCTGTACGCACTTCTTGCCAGGATAAAATTTGTAAGAGTAAAAATTAGAAAGAATTTAAGTCCTTAGAGAGGAGGGCTGATACACTGAACTACAGCATATCTGCGGGACAAAGTATTTGACAAGTAAAAATCATGTTGAAGTTCTGGAAAAGGCAACTGTGTGGGGAGGAAAACAGATCAGTGGTCGCCAGGGGCTGGGGTCAGGGAGGGCTGACTACAAAGGAGCATGAGAGAGTTTGGGGGTGGGGGGATAGGTGATGAAAATACTCTATATCTGAGCTGGTGGCTCCACGACACTCACAGAAGTGTGCACCAGAAGAATAAATTTTTCTTTGTGTAAACTATACCTCAATAACCTTGATTAAAAAAAAATTCTGTTGAAGAATATTAAACAGCCTGGGGAAATTTAAACGACAGATTAAATAAAATGAGTAATTTGCAAAGCAGTGTGCACAGTGTGATTGGAACTTGACAGGATGGGGGGTGTTACATATTTTGAGAGTGGCAGAGATGGGCGACTTTGGCGAGACAGACTTAAACGAAATGCTCCAAAATGTATCAGTGTCTCCCTCTGTAAGTGAAATTAAATATTGCTTTTTCTCCTTACTGTTTTGTTGTTTTTTTTTTTTGCAGCGAACAACTCTTCTGACAACAGGAGAAAAAAATGTTACAATTCGGAACCAGGGCCCACTTGCTTCGGCTTTCAGGTGCTTTGGGCTCTTTTCTCTTGCGTAGAGCCATCAAGCAAGTGAGAAACCAACCCGAGGGAAACCACCAGTGGGCAGCAGAGCCAGCGGGTGAGTGGGCGAGCGAACGGGTGGGCAAGCAAACGAGGAGCAAGTGCGGGGTGGGGTGGGCGCCGGCGAGCAGACGGGCGAGTGCGGGGTGGGGTGGGCGCCGGCGAGCAAAGATGGGCGAATGCGAGGTGGGGTGGGCGCGGGCAGAAGGCGTATTCCTGCGTTTTCATAGGGCTGAGGAGCAGCGTGTCCCCCATTGGTTCACCCTCCACGGAGCTTCGTCATTTCCTGAGCTGAACTGGATCGCAGAGGGCCTCACCATGATAAGTGAGTCTTGCTTCCCCACGGAGTTGGTGGCCTGGGCAGGGGGCAGGCGTCCTGGACCCCAACTCAACGAAGGGCCAGAGGAGTCGCTTTCTTCTCTTACTCCATCAACCATCTAACTAGCTCACTCGCTCTCTCTCTCTCTACCTTTTTGTCTCCCAAGAACGGGCGGCTGCTGCTGCAGTAGGAGGAGGTGAGTTACCTGGATCCCCTCAATCGCCAGGCCTTCACCTGGCCCCGGGTCCTGGGAAGGGTGGAGACCTTAGAGACGCAGCGCTGCAGGGGTTATGAGGGCTAGCCCACCACCACCTCCTCCACTCTTGGAGCTGCCTAGGTGAATCTTAGGCGCAGGGGGCAGTACTCACAATACTCCTGCGAAAGAGGTCACCTCCATCACCGACTCGCTGCTCCTCTAGTCCTTATATACCAGGAGCACATAGAGAAGATTTCATTTGAGAAGGGATTTGCTGCTAAAAACAGTAATGATTTGTTTAATCCCCTGCACATACACACACACACCTGAGGCCCAGTGAGGGGTAGTGACTTCCTCAGTGTCACACAGCAAGTTTGAGACCCAACCAGGGCTATGCCTGGACTTCTTTGCCCCCAACTGGCTCCAATAGTCCCTCCTTTTTCTTTACCTTGGGAACCTTCTCCAAGCTGCTCTCTCCCTTATGCTTAGAGCAGACAGACCCCAGAAACTCTCAAGGAATTCCTAAGCAGTCCATGCCCCTGAGCCCATGCCCACCACCCAGGTCCTTCTCCCCCAACAGCCCTGGCCGTGGGGGCTGTGCCCGTGGTGCTGGGCGCCATGGGCTTCACCGGGGCAGGAATCGCTGCCTCCTCCATAGCAGCCAAGATGATGTCTGCAGCCGCCATCGCCAACGGGGGTGGAGTTGCTCCAGGCAGCCTGGTGGCTATTCTACAGTCAGTGGGTAAGTGCCCCGAGGGGGAGGACAGGGAGGAGGGCCAGAGCCAGGGCGGGATTCAGCCCAGAGGCTAAGCCTGAGGAAGAGCCCGTCCTCGCCCTCCAGTTCCCTGGTCCTCAGCATCCCTGGTCCTTTCTCTCCCTCACTGTCCTCTTTCTGGCTCCTTCTGAGTGAGGTTTGCGGTGGGAGTGGAGGGGTGAGGGGTTCTGAGAGGGAGAGGAGGGAAGGAGCCCAGGGTCCAGCCCTCCCAAATCTGATGCCTGGGTGGTCTAGGCAGGGCCCCTCCCCTCTCTGGGCCTCAGGGGCCTCCTGTGTAAGGTGAGAGGACCCGTAGCTCTTGGGGTCTGTCGCTGACTCTCCTCTGCCTCTTACTTCCCATGCATTCACCCGTCTCTTCTCTCTCTCAGCCGCCCCCAGCATCCTCTGCCCAAAGCGGAGCCCTGGGGGTTTCAGGACCTGGAGGAGGGATCCACATGGGATTTCTGGGCCTCAGGCCTCCTGAGGGGCCCTGGCATGTTCCCCGTGCCCACCCTCTGTCTCTTCCCCAGGGGCAGCTGGACTCTCCACGTCATCCAACATCCTCCTGGCCTCTGCTGGATCAACTTTTGGGGCCTTGCTGGGAGGTTCAAAAAAGGTACCCCCAGGTGGACCCAAGGCTGAAGGCGACCAGCCAGGAGAAAATGCATCCCAAGGTGAAGCTCCAAAGCCCCCACTCAGGTCAGAGAAGCCTGAGAAATAAAGATCACGGCAGATGCACCTCCCTGTCTTTGCTCCTTGCAGCCCGGTTGGGGGGTTGTGAATTGGAGGTTCCCAGTTCTCCCCATTCCCCCAGCCTGCCTTGTGGAGGGGCAGTGGGAGGGGGCAGGCTGAGCAAGCACAGAATCAGTGGGCAGGAGGCTTTGGTTGGTCCTAGTCTTACAAGGGATGGACTGTAAAAGCCAGGGCCATTCTTGGGCCTTCCATGGGCCTCAGTTTGTGCCTCATTTAACTCCTGAGAAGACCCACCTCCCACTACAGGCCACAGAGGAGGGTACCTGTTTCCCAGGATAAGTACCGTCACCCATGTCGCTCTTGAGCTGGTGCAGTGGATGCTGTAGGAGCCGTGTCCATATCCCCGGCACTCAGTCTCCCAGTGCCTGCCTGGGGCGCCTACTGCCAGCACCTGTGACTGTCCCTCCCAGGGCCCGCCCCTGACGCCCACAAGGCAGGCTGGAAGTGTCGGGGTGTGGGTCCCCCCAGAATGGCCCTCAGCCAATGATGGATTTTAGTTGCGGATACACACCCCTGAGGGGGACAACTCTGAGGCCTGCCCCACACTGTCTCCCAGGGTCTCCAACAGGATTGAGCCTCAGAGGCCCACAGTGCAAACTCACTCATTGCTGGCCCTTTCCTGGCTGCCTGTCCTTCCCTGTCTCATCTCCCATTCTCCTGTAGGTGCTCCCTGGGGTCACCTCTCACTCAAATCCACGTCGCAGGGTCTCAGCCTAAGATGGCTTCCTGCCCTCTCCTCAGGCCCCACTCGAGCCCATGGGGCTGAGCCCGAGAGAGCCAGCACTCTAGCAGATGGTTCCTGAAATCCAGCCATGTCTGGCCTTATCCATCCCCTTCCATCAGGATGAGACTCAGACAGGGGGCCCCACAGTCTGTCTCATAGTGACCCAGACAGGCCCAGGTCTGTCGGAATCCCAGCAGAGAACATGGCTCAGCTTTGGGGCCAGCCCCCCAGCCGGGCTACCCAGGACAATGCCATGAGCCAAGAGTCGGGGTAAATCTCTCAAACCAGTGGACGGTCCCTAAGTCTTGGCAATCTGTCAGGGAAAGCCTGGCACAATTTCAGTTTGAAAAATGTTCCTTCTCAGTTACTTTTTCCTCTAGAAAATCCCTGTTATCAAAGACACTCAAGAGAGCCTGGCTGGGCTGGCCCGAAGATGCCGGAACCTGTTGAAGTACTCCACCTCCCCCTGCCGCCACCCCAGCCTGAATCTCTTCATCAATTTGAAGTTGTCTGATTCATTATGAAAATAATTTTATGTCCCCGAACACAGGTTGGTTGCTTGAGGAGGCATCCGGGAGGGAGCTGGTGGGCAGGGAGCCAGTTTAAGGGCCCAGGTCTCCTGGAAATAACCCACAAGTCGACCATCCTCAGCCTGTGGAAAGATGCCCGTCATCAGTAGCAGCAGGAGTCAGGGACTTGGATCACTTCTTCCAGGTTCTTCTAACAACAGCTACAAGAGAGGGGCGCAGCACGGCCTGTGCTGGGGTGCTGTGCGCATTTTATGTGATGATCACGGGCAGTGTCTTGACTGCAGTGGATCCATGTTTCATGTTATTTGTGTTGATCCTCTTGTTCCAGCGCTTTTAGATCGCTCTGTGGGTGTCTAGGGAGCCCCAGGGATGTCTCAGAAGTTGCTGTGGGGTCTCCAGAGGACAGAGGGCAGGGCTCCTAGGAAACAGAAGCCCTTTCCTCCCTCCCCCAGTAGGTGCCATGGAAGTCACAACCCCTCCATCCACATCCCTCCTGAGGTACACTCCCCTCACCTCAGGACCCCTGTCTGGACCCACTGTTGTCCTCAATCTCAGCCCAGCCACTGTGTCCCCCTCAGGTCGTCTAGTCTCCTGGCGTGGGGTGGGGGCAAGCCAGTGATGAAGCTGCACTTCTGTCAGAGGGTGAGTCCCCAGAGCTGGGTGACAGGAGGGAGCAGAACAGAGATATGAGGGGCTACATCTCTCCCCTTTCATGTCTGAGCCTTCACAGATGCCCTATGACAGGCTCTGCCACAGGAGTGGCTCTTGTCAACTCAGGGACCTACTTTCATCTGGCTGAGCCTTTCAACAGCGCCCCCACCACCTGAGGTGTCAGCATGTGAGCATTTGTTTTCTTGAGCTGGTAAGAGTCCCAGAAGAATCTTCCTCCCTCCATCCCTTATGTTATAACCTGGCTGCCAGCCTTCTCGGTACCTGTCGATGAAGATTGAGGGTCTCAACACTTACACGGACACTCTCACCTTTAGTATGAAGCCCCTGCTCTCAGCTGTGCCTGGAGCCCCCTGTCCCAGAGACCCAACCTCACTAAAAATAAACGCACAGTGGTCTGCTGGACGGGGTACCTGGGGCTCTGCCTGCTTCCTAAACAAACTTCCAACCAGACCTCTTGCTGCCAGTCCACCCTAATGCCAGCTTCTAGAAGCTGAGCCTTTGGGGTGCTACAGGGCAAAGTTGCCTTTTTCAAATCTCCTTCTCCACTGACAACTTAAGATTCAGGTGTCTGGCCACTGCCAAGTGGAACCACATGTCCATGTGATTTCTGGCTGTCATCTTCTCTCCCCTTCTCTTTCTCCATGTGGGTTTAAGCCTTTCTTAGTCCTTTACCGTTATTTTAGTGGTATATTGAGAAGGAACAGGTAAAAGACACTCGTGTTGGGCTGAGTCTTCTATTTGCAATCAAAAGATTCCCTACGTGTGTTCATTAGAACGTATGTTTGCTTGCTATTAAAGAGACCCTCTTGGCTTAAACAAGAGGATTTTCTTCCTCTGTTACTCAGTTGTGTAAAGGTCTCAGGCAGGGTGGTGGCTCTGATCCCGGAGGCCCAGGCTCCCGCAGTCTTGTTGCTCTGCCTTGCTTAAGGTGCTGCTCTCATCTGCAGGGTGAAGGTGGTCACTCCCCTGTCTGCAGCAGAGCCCATGGGAAGGGCCAAGAGGCAAAGGCAGGCCCACCCACCCCCCTAACTGCCAGCCTGGAGAGTGGCATACTTCATTTCTGCTCACCTCTCACTGGCCAGAGCTTAGTCCACTGAGCACGCCTGGCCGCAAGAGGGACAGAGAATGCAGCCCTTCACTGGGGATCATGCAGCTGGCCGAAAATCAGAGCTCTCTTCACATGAGCCAGAAGGAAAGAGTAGACATGGGGTAACGAATAGCCGTCTCTGCCATGGTGATGAGGACACTGGTCTCAACAGGACGCCAACACAGACCCCACAATGAGAATTCGCCTCTGCCTCCTGTGCTCTACCCGGCAGCACCCTGAGCCACCGTGTGCCAGACGTGGTCAGCAGGTGATGTGCCTGGCTTCCCCCGACACTCGGGGCTCCTGAGGGCAGGCTGGGACCCCTGGAATCCACAAGGGCAGGACCCAGGGCCCCAGGGCCCATGGAAGCTGGGAGATTCAGAAATCCTGGGGCTGCCAGAGTGAGTTCAGCCAGTCCCGTGTGAGCCCTCAGCCTGGTGAAGGGAGCTGGGGTATCAAGGCTGTCTTAGTGTCTAGTCCTGTGTCACAGATTACCACCAACTAAACGGCTTAAAATAACACCCACTTAGTATCTTGACTGAGGCTTGACTGCACTCTCTGCTTAGGGGCTCACAAGGCCAAAATCAAGGGTCCAGCCAGCCTGGCTCCCATTTGGAGGCTGTGGTAAGAACCCTCAGATTCCCCTCTTGCTTCAAATCTCTGACTTCCTCTCAATGATGAGCAGAGAACACTCTGCTTTTAAAGGGCTCCTGTGATTAGATCAGACCCACCTGCATAGTCTCCCTCTTGTCATGTAACTTAACATAATTAAGGAGTGATATCTCATCATATCCACAGGATCCACCCTGACCCAAAGGCGGGGGGAGTATACACGGTGAGGGTCACTGGGTGCCCTGCTATAGAGGCCAAACCTGAGGGTCAGAGCCGTGGAGCTAGAGATGGGGGCCATGGACTCAATGTCAGAACAGAAACGGGCCCCCTGGGAAGTTGGGGGGCCTCACCCTCAGGAGTGGGACGGGGAGGAGGGTCAGGACACACAGTCTGGACAATGGGTGCTCTGGGGTGGCGTTGCAGGGCTGTCTGCTGGGCCTCGGCAGGGAGAGATGCCGGCCTGTCCATCTTCCAGATCCGGGAGAGACCCAAGTGCCCTTCCCAGGGGGCCGGGGACTTGTAGTCAGGGCAGAGGCTTTACCTTCGGCTCCAAGCAAGGTCTTCAGAGGCTCTAATGAATGCCCGTCGTTCGAGGCATTATTTGGGTTGTGTGCATTTTGTAGGGAGAGAGTTCACAGCTTTTATCAGATTCTCCAAGGCATCAAGAAAGGGAGGAAGAAAAATAGTGGAAAATTGAGTTAATAAAACCCAGCCCCGAGGCTGACCCACTGACCTGTACAAAGAGTGTGTGGAGGAAGTGAATCACCATGGAAACAGATTTTCTGATGCTGTGGGATGGAACCCGTCCTAGTGAGGAGAAGTTTCTACACACCTTGTTCTGGGAGAAGGACATTTAGGGACCAGGCGCTGAAGCAGAAAGTCAGCCCCTGACAGATGTTCCTGCTGGCTGTGGGGGGAAAAGCCAGGGCCAGGGCGGTGGCCTTGGACTCTGGGATGGGGCAGTGACGGCGCGGGGCCT